TAACACCACTACAGCCTGAGTTATTTTTTCTATGACATATGGTCCTTCAAATCGTGGATAAAAATTTGGCAGTTTTATCTTCTGGTGCTGAAGAAAGTGAATGCTTAATTTTTAACACTTCATCTCCTACTTTATAAGTTACTCCCCGTCGTTTCATATGTCGTAATAAAGCTTCTGTTTTCTCTTGTGCTACTTCAGTGTTCTTTTTGCTTCTTTAATTAACTTTTCTATATCGCCCATTTTAAATTCTGGGGCTCTTTGTTGAACATAAAATAATTTATCTAACGGCGTTATAATCTTTCTGCCTAAAAATAACTCAGCAGGAGTTTTGCCCGTCGTATCATGTTTTGCGGTCCTAAGGGCGAAAGCTAATTCATTGACATAGTTATCCCAGCTTTTATGAAAATTTTTAACATAACTACGGATAATTTTCACTATATTTCTATTGACCCGTTCCGCTATATTTGATTGCGGCCGATACGGGACCATTTTTAAATGACGTATGCCCAGTTTTTGGCACATGTCTTCAAATATATTACTTACAAATTGAGGACCATTATCCGATATAACTTTTAGGGGCGCCCCGTATTTTAAAATATATTTATTTAAAATAGAATCAGTAACTAATTTCGCGGAGGCTCGTTTTAAGGGAACAATTTCGGTCCACTTACTAAAATGATCAACCATAACAAGGAGATACCGACTTTTATTTAACTGACTTTTTGGGAAAGGGCCCAATAAATCGATGCCAATTATTTCATTTGGAAATTCGGATTTAATGCTATTTAGAAACCCGGCCGGGCGGAAATTAATATAATTAACTGCTTGACATGTTGGGCAGGAGTGGACATACGCCCTTGTTAACTTTTGCAGCTTCAGGAAAATAAACTGCTTCGCGTACGCGTTGGATGGTTTTTTCGAATACCAGCATGAGAAGCTAGTGGGAAGTCGTGTAACTCCTGCAGTATATTTAATCTAAGACTAGCTGGGATAACAGGTCGAAATTCGTTGTTGGAATTCGTAGTTTTTGTATAAAATAATAGACCATCTATTAGTTCGTAATGGGCCGCCCTATTTCTTATCGCCACAATATCTTGGTGGCTAAAATTTTCAGGATCCTTTAAATACTCATAAATGTTTTTAAATTCAGGATCCTTACCCAGTTCGGTTATTACAGTTTCTCGGGAATGTATCGTACATGCTGTGAGCATTGCCACCTTTACAGTATTACCTTCTTCATCTATTTTTATTCTAGATAGGGCATCTGCTACGATATTTTCCTTTTCGGGGGTGTGCTTAATTAATTAAAGGTTATAATTGATCATTTGAAGTGTCTGAAATACAGTTTCAAAAATACCTTTCTTCAGATTTTGATGCTGAAAAAGAAATTTGGGTTTCTAAACCATACCTCAGCTGAAATGATCATTGTCAAGACATTTTCCATGAAACGTTCAAGAAGAATTTGCATAGTGATCGGATAACAAAGGTTTACAACTTGAGTTTTCCAAAAATAATCGTTAGCGAATTTTGACTGGGGATTGAGGAAGAATTTCCAACACATTTTGAAATGACAATAGACATTCTGCTAATATTTTTACATCACGTATTTATGCGAAGCGACCTTTTCAGCATTATTGTTATAAAGAAATCGGTCAACTCTGCAACAAACAATGAAAAACTCTACATGCTGCAGTATCAAATACTCATTCAAGATTTAACTATTTTCGGTCCTATTTTCGCAGGCGTCATACTGACTGGAATTAGTTTGGTGTAATCCAACGCTTAGTCACTTATTATTTTAAAAAGAAGTAAATTTTATTCAGATGAAGTTATTCAAACTACGTGCGTTCTATTTATTATTTAAGTATTTGATATTTCATGCAGATTTAATTTCTTTGAAAGAAAAGAAACCCATATTGATTTATACTTTTTTTTTAATGACGGGCACTTGCCTATAACAGCATTGGCCACTACTAAGCTTTTGATTTTTTTTGCCATAATCAAACTAACGAAACCAATCTGACGAAAATATACTTTAAGCTTTTTCATTTTTTGATGGTTTGGATTCTCTTGAAACCTTTCACACTCACAAAAATTTACCTACACGAGCACACTGCTTCCAATCCAATTTTACCAACGCTTTCAATAGCCCACCAATGACCGAGCGATAAAGTCACTGAACACCGGTAGTTCGGTCTAAGTTTCGTGTCCCGGAGAATGGGCTGCTGCATAGGCGTTTTCGTGGTTTTCCACATGTGCAACGTGCATACGAGTCAGTTTCCCTTAGAAAGGCCTCCAGCAAAGGCATCTCTCCCCTTAGGCAGATAGCCCTCTTGTGTTTTGACATAATCAGATAAACTAAACCAACATTTTCAATATATTAATACTTTAGCCTTCCCTCTGATTACTTCTTAGAGCCAGCTGTTCTTGTTCATCCTTGAAATTGAAAGAGTTTTAATTAAATTCCCTGTTCTAATCGATGTTTACTTCCGTATCTAAATTTGAGTTTTATTATTTACTTATTCCGCTATCATACTGACTGTCGAATGCTTTTGCCAAAAATATCCCGGGGCATGACTACAACTGTGATACGGTTTTGACCGGAATATCCTGGGACTCGATAGAAAAGTCTTTATCTAAAAAAGTGAACAATCACATACCGATCATTATTATGAATATTCATTTAGCTTTTTCTTTAGTGCAGGGAAAAATTATATTCGTATGTCTACCTAAGAACTGTTAGTCCAAAGGGGCTTTGTCCCTGAGAGACTATTGTTTTCGTTTTGCGATCTTGCGTCGAATCACTCTGAACGTCCGTTTCACTTTTCAAACTGTTGCCACCAAATATTATCGCCCTGTATTATATTTGAAGAAATTAAATAATGAAGAACCTGCATAAATGTATGTATGTTTCTCGCATTGTGATAAAACAACGATACCTAGAGCCATCCAATTTTGAATGACGTAATCCTACTGCGAATATGGGCATCTGGAAGCCCAAATTTGGAACTTGAAATTTGTTTTATTACCTATTTAATATTTTGTAAAACTTTAAACGAATTTATGATTAACAAACTCAAGGATTTCAAAGCGAGCAATGGCAACGTTGTACAGAAAAAACATTTTATCTCCAGCGCGTGAGACTGTGTATCGGAAATTCTAAAGATATGCTCATTTTAAAATTATTTTGCGATATTGCTGTTGAACTGAATTTTATGGTTTAAGTGCGAAGTACATGATATTTAATAAATAAAGATAACACACAGAATGGTAAAAAAACGTCCCCTTTGAACGTAATTTAAAATCTGATACTTTTCAGATTTTCTTTTTCTTTTCCGAATAAATTTTCTTTATGAGTTATTATCAGCAAATGCCTTAATTCGTATTTCTAATTTTTATACCTCTATACTCAGGGTTGCGAAAATATTTCCTGGTGTTGAGTGACTCGCCAAGTGGAAAGTCTGAGAAGCTCTGAATTACAGCAGTGGGTCCTAAAGTGTAGACTGTAAAAAGGTGCGAATTTGGTTGTGTTTGTTATATTATTTGTTGAACCAATTATTTATATTTATTTAAATTTATTAATTGTTTTTTAATTATTAATTACCCACTGACAGTTATACATGTTTTTTATTATTAATTCATTATTGCATTACCATCTTTTGGGTCTTCCTCTTTTCTCGAGAGCATCTGTGTCACAATAAGCAGCAATTAGACACATGTAGGTCGCTAAGCTAAAATGTTTGAGAAACACTACAGAATTAAAAACGCTAAATAAAGGCTTGTGAAACAGTCCTCTGTTAACAGGGGGAAAAAATGCTATTTTATATTTGAAATTAAGATGGAGATTAATAGATAAAATCAGATAGGATATTCAAACTATTAGAAGAGATGTATAAGAAATTGAACGTAAGATGCAATAAAGATTTGGGATAAAACATTATATTAAATTTATATTCATTCCAGATCCAAAGTGCAAAGAAAAATCCTAAAAAGACTTTCTGTCCCGCTGGGGATGTGTATAGCAGTTTTTTATTGTGGTAAAATAAGGTTTCAAAAACTGAAAGCATATTAAATGGTAATGAAAGTATTACAGTGATGAATTCCCCTTCCGAGAAGGAAGCTGCAACCTGCAGATCATTCATATCCCCCCTTTCCCTAAAAAAAAAAAAAAAAAAAAAAAAAAAAAGATGCGGCAGCAACCGTTGTGAAAAATCCGGGATTTTGGGTACAGGTGCCTGCATCCTTACGCCGAGTCAGAATTTTTATAAAGGGAAAAATATCTTTATGCCAATTTAGTTATTCAGAAATATGCAGGATTCTTTACGAAAAACTAAATTTGAATTAAAATGCGAACGCTTTTAAGCCAATTCAGCATTTTTTTTATAAAGGTGGGGCCAGTCTCCATGCAAATGAATATAATTTTTAGAAACTTAGAAGTAAAAAAATTCTTCACATTCATATATCACTTTAAATAAATAACAGGCGAACACTAAATTTCTTACGCGCGATAACTTAGTGAATTACTTTACCACTTGGAAGGTTTCGTTTTTGAAACATATATTTTTTTTAACTGCGAGGAAGCATAATAAAAAATTGACATCAAGCTCGAAGCAATAAATATTTTTTATTTTGAGTGGGGTTCACGTGAGCTACGTACCCGCCAAGCTGCATTCCTAGCGCAATAGTTACCCTTAATATCACAGCATATTACTATTAAGAGTTTAACAAATTATTCCTAGTTAGCTGTATTCAACATGCAACAAAGGGTGCCAGGATTACCAAGCGTTTCTGTTTTTCATCGACGAAATTCCAGAAAATACTACCTCAGCTGACTAGAGTAATTTCTCATCTGAACATCAGCCAACCAAATCCTGGCGGGGAACGAGAGAAACGATTGTAAATCGGCGCGGAAGAAACCAAGCTTTCCCGCGCCAACGCTGACAGCTGATTTAGCAGCTGTGAGAGTTGTACTACGACGAGAAAAGTAGTTCCGTATATCGAAAGCACTTTTTTAAAAAGAACAGCATAGTATATATTTCTTTTGGACTTTAAGAATATAGCGTAGCATATATTCACCAAATGATAAGTTTGGTAATACAAATCTTGGAAATCATTTAGCACGTGCGCGGAAGGATATACGTTTTCCATCGATGAACGTTTCCCGCGCAAAAGAAGACAGGCGGTGAATAAAGGTGTGATCGAGCGATCTGTGTATACGGATTCGGAGTTGTATTCTTAAAAAAAAAAAAGAAAAACAACTCCAAGGATTCACCATACCTTCTTCAATAGATCTGGATTACAGAATGGCATTTTATCATCGGAATGGAGAAAGAAAGAGAATTGCACATGATTTTCGACGGCAGGAAGAAGAAGTTGTCGGCAGCTTGTGCAGGTAGGACTTAGTCATAATGGCAACTGCCTTTTTCTTCAATCTCTCGTAGTAACGATAGTAGTAACCGCTGCCGGCTTACTATCAGCTGGTCGGCATGTTTTGTTTTCGCGAACGCTGGTTCATCCTATTCGATTTATATTTTCGGAATTAAGCTTATCGTAAATTTGGTGTTTCTTATTATGTCAATCATGATCTGTGTTAAAGTTTATTTCTGTGATATATTCCGGGAAAGAGGAGGGATGTTGACGGAGTGTAAGGGAGGTGTGTCTGTTGTTGTAGTATTTTGGCGGGTCCTTTCGTATGAAGCGCGCCGCGTTTAAATGCTGTTAGTATTACGTGCTGATATTTTATTTGTTGAAATGTTAGAAAAGAGAATATTTTTGTTGACATTTATATTTTCTTTTAGCGATAAATCTAGCAATTAATTCACTTATAAAACAGCAATTCTTGTGGCCTTTAAATGTACAATAGTTACACATATGTGAAAGATGTGCATTTTATTATTGAAATATGATGTAACGTCATATATTTTGCATTTTCACTACTGAATTTTTTACTTCAGCAATTCTGTGAACTTTATGGAAAAAGTTTTCTTTCCCTTTTCGTCCGAATAACGGGTATATTGATAGTATAACATTTCTTCTTCATATTATGATGTTTTTCACCTTACTTAATGAATTAACATTTCTTATTTACATTATGATGTATTTCACTTAGTTGAAGAATTTTTTCAATATTGATAATTGAATTTGTGAATAGGACTAAATATTTAATATCATGTATTATAGATATAATGCATATAAGAGAAATGTATTAAATATAAGAGAAATAAGTGAAGCTTTATACGAATGTAATTTTTTTCCAAAACTTCAGTGAAATACATAAAGTGATTTTCGGAAATATGATGCAACATATTGATATTATGAACTCGAGGAAGTGCTTGAATTTTCATGACGTTGTTACTTTTTTAAAATCTATTACTTGAAATGCGTATTATGTATCTGATTCACATATGAATAAGTAATTAAACATACTGATGTTTTTCCTTGTCAGCGTTTTTTTCTCCCCTCCACCCCTTTTTGAAAACCTCAAAATTTGTTTGCATTTTTTAAGTTTCTCTCTTTATTTATTTGGTGGAAAAGAGGGTAGTAAATCAGATGTGCTATTTTTTAAAAAATTATTTCGCTTGAAAATTAAACAAAAGATAAAATATATAAGGTATCTCACTGAGAGTTTTATTGTATGGTATCGAAATTATGTGTCAGCATTGTTACTTACTTTCCAATTTTAAACTTTTTAGAACTCTGTTTATAAACAAAATGACAAAAATGCTTTTATATACGATGAATATTTGACATACATTTTGTGAGTTTCTAAAAACATCGACATGAAGGCTCGCTACTAGCCGGATTTGATAAAAATCATGTTTGAAGGGTGGGCTACTGTAGCTTTAGAGTAGTATTAACCAGAGCCATGACGACAGATTTTATTATCCGAAGCAAATTTCAAAATTGCGTTTTTTTACAATTACTATAATTTTATCCCTTTTACATGAGTATTTAATTTAAATTTTCACTTCCTTTCATTTTTGCTAGAAGCAAGTACTTCGCGACAGCGATAGTAATTCATGTAACTTTTAATCCGATATAGCGGCGAAGTGGTTAGAGCCGTGAAATATGGTTAATATGAGGCGGTTTTTTATTCTCGGGCGGTGCATGAGGTTTTCTTCACATGCAACCAAAATCTGGACTTTCCTTTAGGAAGTCGCCCGCAAAGGCATCTCATCCCATAAGTAGGTAGCCCTGCTTTTTTTGGTACTTTGCCATAACTAAATAATCCGTTCTGTGCAAAAACCGTTAAATGCTGTGGTACGGGCTGGGTTGGTACAAAACATTTAGAATTCATAGAATCATCGAGTAATAAAACTTAGGGATGGCAAAATTTGTAGAATTTAGGGGATGCATTGGGCAGCAAATTTTTTAGAATTAGAAAGGCACCTGGCAACAGAATTTAGGACCCACCGGGTGGGGGAAATGTCGCACTGCCCCTTGGTTCGGGTCCCAGACACCCACGCAAAACGTTTTTACCCTATAGTTTTATTTGCCAGCGGGGTATCATTTGCAATTCGACTCTTCTGTCATTTTCAGTGAAAATACTGAGCATATTCTATTTTAAATATGAATTATGGATGACTGATATTATAACCGGTAAGCAGTGCAAAACAGAAATTTGCGGTTTCGACTCGCATGCGAAGCTTGGTTGTGTTTTTGTCTTTCCCATTGTTTATGAGTATAGCATCAGTCACCTCACGTGGTGCAAACTGGTCATTATCCCGGGTATATGGGGATAAATGATTGAGAAATTTGTCCATGATTTCCGGTGGAAGCTGAATCGGCAAATACTTGGCTGTTTAAAATATGTATAAAATATTTGAAAAGTGCTCTAAAAATGATTTTATTTATGGTCTGTAGGATCATACCAATTAAAAGTTTATAACAGGGCAAAAATCGCAAGCTTAGTTTCTATTACCTACATACCTGCATAACTCATTGGGCATTTCACATTTATTACAGCTCGGTGTTGACCAGTATTAAAAGGTATCGTATAAATGCGTCTAACCAGAGACAACTGACAGTCCTCGTACATTTCAGGTATTATGAGATTATAGAAGCCTTAATTTTAGTAAATGATAGTATTATTCTGACTATTTGACTATCAAAATAATTAGCAAGTATTTCTTGATAGCGAATTTCGTGGCAGTTTCGCATTAATTAACCCTATCATGTAGTGTGTTTTACAATTCCACGTGCCCAGACATTTCATTGTGGAAATTGCGCTGCTCGCTTCCTCTTCTTTCCTTAGTTGCGCAGACGGTTCAGCGGTGTGTCATGGCGCCGGCAGACTTGGCTGTGTGCCAAAGATATGGTCACCGCAGGCAATCTGAATAATGCACTCTACGATCAGAGCTAGTAGGGTTGTATGATGGTTTCGCATCGCCGAATTTTGGCGACATTTATCTGACTTTAAATTTTGGTACGCAATTTTAAAAGTGAAACTTTTGCATATTTTGAGAGAGTTTATTAAATGATAACGTACACGCTATTCTAGCCTAGCATAACTGTAATGAACTTTTAAAATTATTATCGAAAATAATAAGTTGCAAAAGTATAAACTGTGTGAATGGATGTAACTAATTAAATTTTTGGAAGTGTTATTCTTCAGCATTTCTTGTTACTGGACCACAAAGTGACCAAGCGCTGATTACCGGTAGTTCGACCTCAGTTTGTTTTCAGGTGAATGGGCTGGCTGCATGGGCATTTTAGTGGTTTCCTCCATGTGTCCCATGGATACCAGCCGATATCCCCAGAAAGTCATCCACAAAGGCAACCCTCAAACAGTCCTTCCTTTGCCATAAACAGAATTTAAACCCAAACCAAATCTTATTAATAAATGCATGATTATTAATATGATATATACTGAAGATTCATTGAAGAAATATTCTTTCTTTTTACTTGTGTAATCCCATATTTTTAACGATTTTAGAATTATATGTTAAAAATTATTTTTTATAGAAATATTCAAAGATGTCAAGTTTCAGTTAAAATTCTTTTTGCTTAGTTACATATTTCTATACTTGGGCCAGGATTCTACAACTAGTGCAGGTGGCTGAACTAAATGGTAAGAACCTAGCTTGCTTAGATTGTGTCTATCTAAAACAGTTAACCCACCCTAACCAGCTGGCCAGAATTGGTTTAGAGTAGGGGTTCTCAGCCGGTGGTACACAAGAGAAAAATAGTTGGTACGCAAAGAAGCAAAGTATTTTTTAACTATTAAATTCAAAAATTAAAACCTCGACATCCTGATTGAGTTTTTTCTCTAACACTCGTAAATTTATGCGATCTGAGCTTTGTTCAAAAGGGGTGGTGGTATTAGTACTTTGTACTGGTGGTACTAAAGGGTTTTCAATGTTTGTTTAAATGGTATGTGTTAGTCAAAAGGTTGAGAATGGCTCGTTATGTCAAAATTATCTTTTAGTTGAGATTTTGTTACAGAGAATGGAATATAACTGGCAGATGTCCAGTCTGCCAAGTAAAAAATAATTAAGAACAAGTTTACTTTTCTCTTTGCAATAAGCTGATAGAAAATAGCTGAGTGCTTGTGAAAAACATTGCTTCTCAGGTTGTGAAAGCATAACAGTGTATATCAACTACATAAAATCAAACAGTTTCATTAATTTTTATCCTGTAAGCAGATATTTCACTAAAAGTAATCTACTAATTAGCATTCATAGAAGTATATGGGATTTTATGCACATTTTTAATGCGAATGGACGGCTTGAAATATTATTATTATATCATTGCTGCAAAGCACACTGTGGTTATCTCCCTATCTGAAGGACTGTTCTCTAAGGGCTGCTGGCATTTACATTATTCACTGGGAATACTAGGAAATACCTAACTCAGTGGGCCTATTGGTTAAGCCTGTAGGAGTAGAAACCAGGATGAGTTTTGTGGCTTTAATTTTTTGGCCATTGGAGAATGCAGATACAAATTGCAGCGTCTTTTCACTGTATTCCTTATGTAATGACAATGGCATGCAAGATGATCTTAAGAAAATTTATAATCAAGATATGGGCTTTAATCTTGCCTTTTATCTTAACACATAGATATTTTTTAAATGCTTTAAGACCTATGTGTGTATTTATTTAATAGATACTTTGAAAGTCAAAAAATTTCATTTTGGGAAACATTCAGGGAATCGGGAGAGGAGTAAGATAGCAGTAGAATTTCCAGGTATCTGTTATATATAAATTTTCAATGTTTATGATTGTGTGGTTCTTGAATTATGGTATTGGTTTCGTCATAAATTCATTATTTGGAAATTACATTAATAATTTCTTTGCTATTATTATATATTTTTTTGTCTCAGAGCATTTTGAATTAAGGTTTTGTTATTTTTATTCCCCTCTTTTACTGTTTGATATTTTAATGTAACAACGTTATTATGTCAGTTTCTGTTATGTAAAAAATCTTACTGTAGAAGCATGAAATTCATATGAAATCAAATACATGCGTTAAAGTAAGAAAATTCTAAATGTGACTGAACTGTACAGATTTGTAAAATATAAATCATGGTTTAAAAAATAGATAAACATTAACACAGATGAAATTTTATTTTGTAATAATAAAAAAAATTCATAGTATTAATTTAAGTTTAAAGTACAGCTAAAAAGTAAGCTTTACAAAAAAGTGGCTGAGCAAATATGATAGCAGTAGAATATCAATATCATGTATCCAAAGCCATTAAATACTCAGCTTATGTTCATGAACTATTATTTTATGTAATGTTCACAGCCTTGTCACTTTCAGTCGAAAGTGGGTATTAACAGCTGTCTGATCTGTTTATTCTGTAGGCTAGGCAACCGCCCTATATCTCCAAAGAGCCTACTGGAGCAAGAAAAGAGGATACGAAGAGAAATTGCTAATAGCAATGAGAGGCGGCGGATGCAGAGCATTAATGCTGGATTCCAGGCCTTGCGATCTCTTTTACCACATCGCGAAGGCGAGAAGTTAAGCAAGGTAAAAACAAAAATTTTTAGGAATTGTGGTGGAAGGTTTGCAGCTTCTGTGTGTAATGTTCAAAATCCAGATTTGTATTTGCGATATATTTGGCCCTGAAAGCAACCATTTTGGCTTTAGGATTTTGAAATTCTGTTTTCTGTTATGGAAAAAAAGGTGTGGTGTTTGACTACTTAACGAAGCACCTGTGTAAGGATCAAAATGTGTTTTCAATGTTAATGTGAACACCCTCATACAAAATTGTTTTTTCATTATTAATGCCAAATTCAATTTTAATCACTTTACATTTATGCAGTAACAAAAAATTTAAACTTACGTTGTAATTTTATGAAATTATAAATTTGTAATATAAAATTCTAGTAGTAGGGCTAAATAATAATACAATCGAAGACTAAAATCCAGCAACCTAATATCCTCATAACACCTGAAATCTGCATATTCTGAGCTGTCAACAGTGAAATTCTCAATTAATATTTCAAAATTGCAAAATGTTTTGAATTAAGAATATAAGTTTTCCATTTACGATGTAAACTGGGTCATAGTGAAGTGAAAATTCTCAAATAGATGTATATGTTGGTCAGAGGTTGCCCTTATTGAGTTGTGAAGCAAGCTATGGCATTCTGTTTATTACATTGGCATTCTGTCTTTTATAAATGTACTGTTTTGCCAAAAAGTGACAAAATTGTAATCCAACTGTAGATTAACCCTACACTATTTTAATTGAGCAAAGCTGTAGTAGTTTGAATTTTTTTATTATGACCAGAATGAAAAGTAGTACTTTATCGAAAGAAAACTTCTAAATAAAACACATGGCTTTTCTTGAGAATAATAATTAAAATGCTGAATTTAGAATGGCAAAACTGTATAATTAATCTGGAAATGATGGCTGTATATAATTAGGAAGGGACATCAAATTTAAATATCCTGAAGTTTTAGAACAAACTGCTGTAAAACCCCTGTTTAAAAAATTAAAACTTAATATCTCTGGTTTAGTCCATGTAATGAGATCGTGTTCAGGGATCATATGCAAATTGAAAATCATTTGCATGCAACTAATTAATAGTTTAGAAAATTTAAAATAACAGTTTAACTGTTAATTAATTAAATTATTTAATATAAAAGTTAAAGAATCATAATTAAATTAACAGTTTAGAAAAAGGTTTGTGATATCAGTAGATTTATTGATGAGCAGACTATCATAAAAGATAACTGCAACTTCAGTATTAACACTAAGCTGAATCGTAAGATTATACAGTACAAAGTCTTTATCCGGACTCGTCGGGACTTCGGCGATTCCGGATTAGGGGTTTTCCCGGATTATAGATCATCAATTGAAATCTGGTAAGATGGCATGCAGAAATTATAAAATTAAAAATATGAAACCGTAATTTATGAAATAAAGTGCAATTATGATTTAAAGGGTATCAAAATTTACAAAAAAAAAGCTTAAAATTTATTTGTTTACTTTATTAAACATTTCTTTCAATGTAAGTTGTTTAAGTTGCTTCGTTTTTTGTGCTAATAGTTTCTCTTTAATTCTATAAACAGACATAATTTCTTGTTCAGTTCCACTAAGTCCTGTGATTGCTGTGTCAAGAATACCGACTAACTTGTCAATTGAAATCTTTTCGTTTTCAATAACCTCTCTGTCATTTTCTTCGCTATCGGAAGCGGTACATCAAAAATGCTTTCGCTTTGTAGATCCTTTGGCAGCTCCAGAATCAGAAATTCTTTTTGACATAATCGAAAGTTCAAGCTTACTTTTTATAAAATTGCTGTAACAGTCTGCAAAAAATAATAAGCCGGATCCATAAATAGATAATTAGATAATTTTAGCCTAGCTTCTACCGTCCATTATATATTAAATGCTCATGCGTAAGCGTATTATGCGCGTGCGTAGATGCATTTACGCATGCGCAGAAAGTTTGTAGCTTTGAGGTCCGAATTATAGATCATTCCGGATTATGGACGTCTGGATTAAAGACTTTTGTATTGTATATAAATTGCAGATGAAAAATATTTTGAATATAATGAATTTTTTGTTGTCAAAATGAAATTATGTTGCCAAAATTCTTTCTGCATACCATCTATATAAAATTAAATCTAGTTAATCTGTCCTGTTTGAAAATGCCACAGTTTCCCAAAAATGTGTCAGGTGAGGCTTCATGTGAAAATTTGTTACAACTGAATTATTAAGTGCACCCTATAAGAGCTTTCAGAAAGAGTAGATTGTTTTAATGTTGCGGCAGGGTATAATATCGAGGAACATAGAATGGTGCTAGGGCCACACCAGCGCCAGTGGAAATATGGCTGCACTCGGCCACAACATTTTTAGAATTTTAAGAAGCACTGAAGAGCAAAATTCAGGAATGGCAGAATTTTTAGAATTCAGGAGAGACACTAGGCACCAGAATTTAGGGGCTGTAAAATTTTTAGAATTTAGGGAAGCACCAGGCAATAGAATGCAGGGACTGTCCCAAGTGGCAAAATGCCTAGCACCGTCCCTGGATATTTCATTATTCCAACTAGAAATATGCCAACATACTGTCGATTTATAGGTAGGCAAATAGTAATTTGAGAACTCTGCTTCTATATTGAAAGGCATATCTGATTCAATGTTCCAAGAAAACCATTTCACAAGCATTCTGCCATTGACTCCAAGAGATGGATTTTAGGGAAGTCATGATTACTGATTGTGGATATCACCATGTTGAATAAATATCAGTAGTAGAAGAATGAGTGCCCCACCCATTCACTGTTGGTCCTAAGCTTTCACTAGCATAGAAAGCTTGAAACATAACCTAACCAAAATTAATTCATCGATATTCTTTGTAGAGGTACATTTGGTGATAAGAAGCAACTGTATCTCTAAATAGTACAGGTATTAGCACTGGCAGATTACCCTGCACATTCAGCATGTATGCAGTGGGTATTAGGCCAAATGACCAGAAGCTGTATATTCATAAAACAGAAGTTTGGTTCATGAATGAAGTGCAAATCTAGCATAATGGGATGTTGAACCTGCATAGTGGATGGACAAATCTCTGTGCCAGTATTTATAGTTGCTATCAAGAATGTTTCCACCTGAATGGTAGGTGCTTACTTCTTTATACTCACTTTTTTGAAGTCAGCATTAACTGGCATCTTTTTCTCGTTCCTAGAACATCACACGCTATATTACAACTTGTCTATGTTAGTGAAAATTGTCCTGTATCGCAGGTTACAGCAGAATTATTGGACCCATCAAATGACCTGCTTAATCTTCCGGTTTGAAATCACTATTAATTTGTCTGATGGTAACTGAAAGCGAACATTTTTTTGTGTATTTAGTTGCTTCATAAGACTTTTGGTAGCATATTGAGGATTGCTACTCCACAGCATTCTGTGTCTCTTGGGATGCCTCTGTTAATCTATATGATGATGATGTGCTGCTTGTATTATTACTTGTGGCATATATTTTAAACACTTATTGTAAAGTCTGTATACTCAACTGCACTTTTTTTAAGAAATATTTTCCTTATCTTTTACCACAGAAAGCAATCTGGCAATTACTGAACTTATTTTCTGGGACTTCCTGTATTGTGCACATGGATACATATTTCTGTGTATATGTGTGTATGAATTAAATATACGGAAGTTGAGGGAAAAGTCATACAGTGTAAGGATATACAATAAAAGTGCGACTATCTAGCATTCAACTAACATGAAAGCTCGAGTAACTGGAATATTTTAGAATTTTAGAAAAAAAAAAATTCTTTGAAAAATTGAGTAAATGAGATATTTTATGCCATTACAGAGCTTATAATTTGATCAACACATATACATTGTCACCAACAGTACGACTTAGCACTAGTAATGAGCAAGCAAGCATGACATCCCAGCACAGTCATAAGAAGTTCATTTTTATTTAAATAAAATCTTAATGAGTTCTAAATAAGCTGGTTTAATTTTTGTGAAGATATAAGCTCTATTTTTTCTTTGCATTTTGAAAAAAAAAAAAAAAAAAAAAAAAAAATTATATTTGAGACTACATAAAGTGGAGCATTTTAATTACAGCATTTCCATACATAAAAGAAAATTATTTTGCATTGGACTAGCTGATTCACTGCTGCGTGTTTTATGTAATAGTGGACGGCCAATGACGGCGGAACATTCGTACGAGTGTGAAGCACTGACAAATTATTCTTGTAGATTTCAGTGCTATTGGCAAGCGAGGCGTTTAATGGCCTAATGGCCAATGTAACTGGCATTTGACAAATAAAAATAAATATATAAAAGAAAAGCCACAGTATGTGACTCTGAAATTGAAATAAGCAAGGGCATTGTAACATGAAAAGTTATGATAAGCCATTTAAGTTTTTAATTGCCATATTAGTCGTTTATATATCTTTTATTATCTAACTAAATATTTCTGTTCATTTAAACTTCTACCAGACTAAGTCTTCTCTACCAGTTAGTTATTAAAATACGTCACCTTTTAAGACTGAAATGTGTTTGTTCTTTTATATCTTGCATAAATTTAAACATAGGTTTTTGATATTCAAGCTGATAACAAATAAGATGATTGTTTTTATAAATGGTAATTTTTCCCATTGATTAGTCTTTTCTAACCTGAATTCTGTTTTCTATATGCAGAACTATTTGAAATTCTGAAATTCTCGAGTTTTTACTGTAGTGTATAAAACAGATGAGTTATGTTTTTTCGTGTGCAACTTTTGCATTCCCATGTAAATATAATTATTTAACTGTATAATGCTTGTTATTATACACTGTGTCTACCTGGCCTTTATTTTTGCCTCTGTTGGTTTTTAGACATCTAGTTCCAACTACAAAAATGTCTTAAACTATGCAGATATTTGTTTTAGAATTTTTAAATAAAAAAATACAGAAATTTTGTAAAAATAATGAAATTTCTGCATACATTCTTCTGGAAAAATTTGGGAAAATTTTATACTCATTATAGAAAATGAGATAAAAAAAGTGATTCCCATTATGCTGAAAATTGGCCGAGCTATTTAGTTTCAAAGCCAGATAT